CCTGCTTGGCGGTGCGAGACCCAGGAAATTCGCCTGCTTCCTCCCCCTATTTTAACTCCCTCTTTGTCTGGGTCTTTCTGGAAGACGAGGCCATATTTTTAAACCGGCCTCTCGCAGCTGGAATTCCTTAGCCCAGCGTGTGTTCACATCCATCACTGCTTATTAAATGCTCAGCTAAGTAGGCAATTGTGCTCTCTTGCTCTCTCCTTCCCCATTTCCCCTTTTTCTGCTGATTAGGCTGCTGAGAAAGGAATCTGCCGTGGACAGCTGAGGCACCGACAAAGCTGCCTCCCCCCCTCCCGCCGCCACTCCCCTAGGGGTACCTTCTCGGAGTCCTCCCGCTCTCATTAGCTTGGGGTACAATTGATGGGTTAGGGCTACCGCTATCATCGCTCGTACCCTAAAGGACAGGAGGAGAAAGACAAAGAACAGGACAGGCTGTTCTTTAAACTGGGGCTGGAAACAGGTTACAAAGGTTTCCCTTGTTCGAAAGCCAGTCAAATCCGACTCTAGGGGGCGGTGCTCATCTCCGTTTCCAAGCCAAAGAGCCAGCGCTGTCCGAAGACGTTTCCGTGGTCATGTGGCCGGCACACGCCGAGGCACACAGAACTCCGTTCCCTTCCCACCAAAGTGGTACCTATTTATCTACTTGCAATTTCTTGCTTTCAAACTGCTAGGTTGGCAGGAGTCAGGGCCAGAGACGGGAGCTCACTCCGTCATGCGGCGCCAGGGTCTCGAACTGCTGAGCTACCGGCCTTCTGGTCTGCAACTCAGCGTCTTAACCTCTGAGCCACCGCAGCTCTGGAAGTAGGTTAGGGACTTACAGATTTTGACACTCCCAGGCCTGGTCAAAAGCCTACCTTAAGGAGCAAGACTTGTTTCTGTATTCCAATTCTGCCCACCAAAAAAACCCAACCCCCCCCCAAACAGTCCAGAATGTGGTACGGAAGACAGGAAACCGCTTCCTCATTCCTTTCTAAAGCTTCTACTCCACGGGACTGCAGAGAGGTGTTAAAAGAATGTGCGTCATGCCTCAGAAAGCAAAAAGATTTCCAGAGGTTATGCGGTGGGTGGGGTTTGGACTGTGCTTGTGTTCGGAGCCCTGGAGTGGGGGTAGGGACAAATACACACATGAAGTGGCCTTGTCCTAAAATCAGACCCTCAGTCCAGCAAGATCAGTATTGTCTGCTCAGACTGGCAGCGGCTCTCCAGGGTCTCAGGCAGAGGTCTTTCCCATCACCTACCACCTTGGTCTTTTTAACTGGAGAAGCCGGGGATTGAACCTGGGACCTTCTGCACACCAAGTCGATGCTCTGCCACTGAGCCACACATGAAACTGCCTTATATTGAATCAGACCCTTGGTCTATCAAAGTCAGTACTGTCTACTCAGACTCTCAGCGGCTTTCCAGGGTCTCAGGCAGAGGCCTTTCCCATCACCTCCTGCCTGGCCCTTTTACATGGAGATGCCGGGGCCTGAACCTGGGACCTTCTGCATGCCAAGCAGAGAGTGTACCCCTGAGCCATGGCCCCTCCTGCATGCAAACATTGGCCCTTAAAACTGGCAGGCATTAGGAAATCACCAGGCTTGGTATATATCCCACCAGCCTGGCTAAGACAGCAGGAACTGAACTCTGAACTTTTAATTCGAATTCAGGGCTTGGAGGTCATACATGTCAGCTCCAGAGTCAGGGGACAGATACCTAGAGCCCAACAATATTTATATACAGACAAGTAAAAGGGACTCCCTACATCCTGTGACCATTCCATAACAGCTGGTGGAGGCATCAATTATGTACATTTATTATTATTTTTACAAGTGTTTAAATATCTGGCAAGTTCACCTGGCAGGCAAAAAATAAATAAAGGACCCTGAAAGAGTCCTTCATCCCGCCATCTTAGAAAAACGAAACAAAATAAATAGCTCCCCGAGTCCCCAGGCGTAGGGGTGGTCTGCTATGTGGGGATGCCCCCGACACAAATGCCCTTCTGCACTGGAGGCTATAAAGCCATCAATCATTGTTTTGAAATGGCCAATTAAAAGGGAATGTACCGCAGCAATGGCTCGGTACATTGAGTGTCACTCAAGAACTTTGTGTGTGTGTGTTGGGAGGGGGTTAGGACAGGTTTTGAGCCCCCCCTTAGTCTAGCTGAAGGGAGAGCTTGTGATGGAACTGGTAAACTGAAAAATGGGAGGATTTAAAACCCTTAGTAAATATTTTCGGATCAGGAGGGAGGACAAACATCCTTGCAGTCATCAGCTGGGGGACGGGGAAGAAGAAGAAGAGAGAAGAGATTGGATTTATACCCCGCCCTTCACTACAGAAAGGTGTCTCAGAGCGGCTTACAAACTCCTTTCCCTTCCCCTCCCCACAACAGACACCCTGTGAGGTAGGTGGGGCTGAGAGAGCTCTTGACAGAAACTGCTCTTTTTCAAGAACAGCTCTGAGAGAACTTGTGACTGACCCAAGGTCACACCGGCAGCTGCATGGGGGGGGAGTGGGGAATCAAACCTGGTTCACCCAGATTAGAGTCCACGCACTTAACCACTACACCAAACACAGGCAGAGGAGCCCTCTGGGGGAGTGTCGGGGGGGGGGGCACTGCAGCTCCACCTTGTGTCCTGAGTCTGAGTGTGCTTCCGGCCAGATCGGCTGTGAGTCCTCGTTCACCGACGGACCGGTCAGTTCAACAGCTCAAAAGTGTCCTCCACGACCTGCCAGAGGCAGTTGTCGAGGGGGAAATCGTTGTCCACCAGGTTGACCAGATAGTAGTTGTCGTGGATGTACTGGATGATCATGCGGGAGGGGGACTCCTCTTCGTACAGCTTGGCCCACTGCTCGATCCACAGGGCAAAGGCCTCGTCCTGTCCGGGAGGGGCAGAGAGAGGGGGGGGGGAGCAGGGTTACTCCGATGCGTGCATTAAAAATGGGCCGTGCCTCCGATCATTAACTTCCAGGACAGTGGACTTCAAGTGCAAACTGCAGGGATATTGGGGGGGGGCAATGCTCCCTCTAAGCTGTGGAGTCTCGTGAGCAAAAATTATCCTTTCTGAGCTCCTGGCATTAAAGTTGTGGGCAAGCGATTTGGTTGCTGCATAAATCAGTTTGCTCTGGAGCCCTCCTTCCTGAGCTAAGACAAAAATGTGTGAGAGCCGGAGGCTAAAAAAACTGTGAGCTGGCCCACACTCACTCATCTTAGAGGGAACACTGGTGTGTGTGTGTGGGGAGTGCAAACCTGTCCCCAGGGTACATTAGAAGAACAAGCCTTTTCCTCCCAGTCTGGCAAACCTTTGCTGTACTTTTATCTCGTGATCTTGTGGAAACAGCCCAGTAGGGGAACACACTAAATTCTTAAAGGGCAGCTCATACTCCATATGCTTTACACTTTTCGTTTGTGACAGTAGTTCTGGAGTGCAGGCACAAGTACCACCAAATGGGAGGAAGGCTTTAAGAGCAGCCACTTGCAATGATCCCTCTAAGCTGTGGAGTCTTGTGAGCAAAAATTCTACTTTGTGAACTCCTGGCATTGGAGTTGCAAGCAAGCGATTGGCCTGCTGCGTAAATTAGTTCCTGAGCTAGAACAAAAATGTGTGAGCTGGAGGCTGGAAAACTCCGAGGAGAAGAAGAAGAAGAGGAGGAGGAGATTGGATTTATACCCCGCCCTTCACTCAGAGTCTCAGAGCAGCTTACAGACTCCCTTCCCCTCCCCTCAACAGACACACTGTGAGGTGGGTGGGGCTGAGAGAGCTCTGACAGAAACTGCCCTTTCAAGGACAGCTCTGAGAGAACTCTGGCTTGCCCAAGGTCATCCAGCAGGTGCAAGTGGAGGAGTGGGGAATCAAACCCAGTTCTCCCGGATTAGAGTCCGCACGCTTAACCTCTACACCAAGCTGGCTCACACTAACTCAGCTTAGAGGGAACACTGGCCGCAAGCATGGTCCGGCGGTCCCCTGGGAGCCTGGATGCATGCAAGCAGGAGGGAAAGGCAGAGGGAGAGGGGGGGTCTATGAGTGGCCCTTGGCTCCCCACGGAGACAGCCTTTCCCTGCCTGCTGCTTTGAAGAGGAGGGCAGCTTTCCACCAGACGAAAGATCCTGGGCTCTCCTGACTAGTCTATTATTACGGTCTTTGACCAGTACATAACAATGTAAAAGACAAATAGAAAAATTCCTAATACTATCATAGCTGGTTATAAGCCAGTAAAAACCTTAGTAAGATAAAAGCTTATCAGTTATATAAAATATAAAGGAAAAAGTAGAACTACAAACCTTTTACACCATTTAAAAGTCAGTTTAAAACAGTTTTTGATCAAAGTAGAGATATGGCCTATTTGCCTCGCTTTTTGCATTCCTTATATACCTGGGCGCAGAACCTAGCCACCTGTTCAGGGTGGTGAAAACCAGTGAGGATTGTCAACATGGCATTAAACAGCATGGACGGCTTCAAAAGGGAATTAGATAGGCATATGGAGCAGAGGTCCATCAGTGGCTATTAGCCACAAGGTATAGCTAGGGGCTCTGGGGCAAGTGATGCTCTGTCATCTTGGTGGTTGGGGGGGTCAACAGTGGGAGGGCTTCTAATGTCCTGGCCCCACTGGTGGACCTCCTGATGGCACTGGTATTTCTGGCCACTGTGTGATACAGAGTGTTGGGCTGGATGGGCCTTTGGCCTGATCCAACATTGGCATCTCT